TTGTTCTTATACTTCTACAATCATTCTCATGTTGTTCATTTTGCCATATTTTTGTTTATTCATTCATATGTCTTCTATATAATGATGCATAGTATAGTACACTATGTTAAAAAAATACTAGAAATGTATGTTTCTTTATCACCAAATGATTTATGTAAGTTGTGAAGTAAAACAGTTGAACATTAAATCCCATTTCAATTTATTTGCATGAGGTGAAGAGAAATAATGGTATTGAACAATTGACTATTCATGAAAGATACTAAAGAGAACTTTATTAATTTATACATACTTTTGCTAATTTTATTGTTATATCTTGGTAGTAACATACCAATATAAATAGTAATATTGTTTCTAGATGAAGACTATTATAATTGAAATGAAATGGGATTTCACATCATAATGCTATGCACGGACTGGGCTAATAATGACAAAAAACTACAATGAATACAATAGTATAAAATGTTGCTATGAAATTAAATAAATGTTGTATACAATAATTAACCGGTTTAATACTATATTATACATAAAAGTGAATGAAATTCAATGTTTACTATTTTGCTTTATACATGAATATCACAGGTCAAATTATTGAAATAAATAATGCAAATAGATTATGATTTGAAACATCTTGTATGTCATTGTTCTATTTGTTATATAAGACTACATGATATAAACTTTTTGATAAGCCTCTTTTATCATATTTTGAACCAATGGAATAAAGAGCAAAGACCTAGAATATATTGTAAATATAATCAAGTTTTTGATCAACTGATCAAAGGAAAATATTGCGAATAAATTTGTTGTACTGCTATTGTAAAGAAATCATCATTGTTTTATTTGATATTTAGAATACACATAATCGTGTATATATTTGAAGTTAAGAGCAATTATGATTAGTGATACCTGTATGACCAACTCTCAAAAGATAATCTCATTAAACCAAGTACTTTTTTTCATTTGTATTAGTTGATTTATACTGAATAAAGATAACACAAACAAACAAAAATGAGTTGGCTGTGTGAACACCTCAATGACAAGTGGTATCAGATGCCTCAGAGAGAATATTCAAATGCTCCTTGTGATACGTTTGTAACACAATTATAACCTAATGTATTACACGGGAGTGGAGTGGGTGGGTCGGGGGGCTTTTCGATTGGCAGGGGACTATTAAAATGGGTAAGCAGAGATAAGCAATTTGATGAAACTTTGTGTATAGTTTCATTACATTAGTACCTTGACCATATTACCTTGACCAAGTTCGACAATGAGCATTCTCTTAGTCAGGATAAGCAAAGCAACTTGATTGGCCGGGACTTTGAATTGGTTGATGCTTTGGGGTATGATAACTTTGGTTATAATGAAGTACTGGAACATAACAACCCAGCTTTTAATTGAGCTAGAATGTTTAAACTTGGTGTAGATGTTCATCAGGTCTTGACTGAACAGTTTGAGCTACAGCTTGGCAATTTCATTGGTCGATGCTTTGGGACAAGATAACCTTGATTTCTATCTGACAGAGAGTGATGAAATTTACAGTATAGTTTGATTGCTCGATACTTTTGAAAAAAATATGAAAGTGCGATTAATTAATGTGTCATCTTTTACTTTGGGGTTTTGGCGGGAGACATCATCCATACTGTTTGCTTGTTTAATATCCCCTATACAATATACGCTCGACCTCATTACCCGAACTGGGGTAGAAAAGTGGGATCTTTGACAATGAGGCAATGAACTTGTACATTCTTTTGCAGCTGCACAAGAGGGAACATCAACGCCGGATTAACCATGGTGGTGGGGAGGGGGGCTGATACCGACCGTGAAGCCCCGCAAGGGGGTCGGGTCAGGGGGTTCTCCCGCTAAGAAATTTTAATTGGAGGCCGAAAACGTGATTTCATGGCATTTCAGGCACTTGTGTCGGAGCCATTTAGAAGTACCTCCCCCAGAAAAATAAAATTCTGCCACAAAATTAGCCACAATCCATGCGGGTGCTAAATGAGCAGAGCTACATCAAACCTAATTTTGAGTCCCTCAGTGATAAATAACTTGATTCAAAATCGTATTATAGCCCCAACGACGATTTGATGAATGGAGACCGTAACGTTACGACAAAGTCTAACACTGTAAGTACCAAATAGTCATACGAGATATGTGCATCTCATCAAATTCAGCTTATACCATACCCACAATAATGTTACGGAGTCAGTGAGTTCAAGTTAGACAATACGCTGACCTTCCACTGACCATGCTTATAATATAAAATCTGTCAATGACAGCTGATTCATTGTTTAGTTTTTTATATGATATATTTAATATCAATAATATATGTATATGCATGCTTTATTTTACTTTACACGACCTCTAAAAATGCCCCAAATCGTAAAAATACGACTTTTTGGATTTCGATCTCCTTTTTTCGGCTACCCCGGACATTTTCAAAAAATGATACAATGATTTCACACAACAGGCCAGCTATTAGCCTCTCGATTGACAAGAGTTTAATCGCCCTCCATTCATTATAACCAATGTCATCGTGCCCTAAAGAATCAACAAATCAGCTTGCTTATCTCTGCTTACCCTAGGCAAAAAATGCTCATCTTTGAACTCAATCATGACATTGACCTAGTGAACGCCTACACCAAGTTTGAACATTCTAGCTTAATTAGAAGGAGAGTTCTTGTGTTCCAAAGTCCCGGCCCTTCAAATTGCTTCTATTTTTCATTTTCAATTCAAAATGGTGACCATCACGTGACCGAAATCAAAATTCTGATCCGATAGATTTTTAATCATTCCTTCCAGGATTCCGAAAATATGACGCCCGAGTCTGTAAGTAAAATAGCAAAAAAGCCTTTTTCATTTTTCACGTTTAAAGATGGTGGCACTTCCGGTTCGATCGACAAACTCCATATTTTGTGTACGAATCAATAATTACTTGTCTAGTATCGAATTTTTTTTTTAGGTCATTCTGACTTATATTTCGACGATTTTTTTGAAAACTTTGATCCTTAATTTCACCAAGGGGAGATAATTTAGAAAATTTCCAAGGACATCATTGAAGTCGCATTGGCAAGATCTACTAACATTCTAAATTTCACGAAAATCGCACAACTATTAAAGAAGTTGTCAAATTGGTAATAACTTCCGGTTCAAAATGACAGCGACGAATTTTCGAAATGCCAAAATCCGAAATTGCAGATTTGAAGTAAATGTTTCAAGATACTCAAAGAAAAAAGAATTAGTAAAATAGGTCAAATAGTCACAAAGTTACAGCATTGTAGGTCAAATGCATTCCTTCGTAAAATTCGGTGATTTCGGATTCGTAAAACGTTTTGAAAATATATTTAATCAACAGCCACCACCCATTTTTGGGGGGATAGGTAAAAGTTTCAGAACGATCCTATGGTTAGATTCTGAGAAATCCGATTTGTGGACAAAACACAAAAAAAAAACTAGATCTGCATAGCAGATATGAAAGCTTTCATATTAACTGCAACGGGGTTTATTAGAATCTATTGAAACAATAAGTATAAATGTCATCAGGTATCTGAAAAATTACATTTACCTTATGAACAAAATGGGAAAAATACTAAACAAAAATTGTCGACTTGTGGCTACCATCCAATGCATATTTAGAAAACAGTATATTATATACAGAGTACGCAGGACAGGAATTAGTTGTGTTTCAATGTAAACCGGCCCGTTTCTTGCCTTTAGTTTTAGAGTTACGTGTGATTTTCAAAGGATTCAATCGGAAATCGCTGAAAATCAATTGTCTTCTTACCTTAAACACTGTATAAATTTAAAGTCAATCGGATATTGAATTTAGCCTCTAGAGCGTCCACAAGATTTTTTAAAGGGATCAAGGGCAATAACTCTGACGGGAATAAGTGATAATTCATATTATAGCAGTAAATAATTAAAATATTTCATAGGGATTATAATAATATGTATATCTTGTCTGGGTACAGGGTTAAAACCAATAATAAATTCCGAAAATCGTTTTTTTGCTAAAACTCTTTTTTTTTAATGGGATCAAAATGGGGGTAAGGCACAGAGTCCGGGGTGGTAATGGGCGTATTGTGTCCAAATTTCATGGTTTTCAGGCAATCGGTGCCGGTGTCACGGCGAAATTCCACTTTTTCCCCCTCATGGAAGCCGTAAATTGACGAAAGGCAGGTGACAAGAACAAACGACTTGAACGAATGCAGGTATCACCTTGAAATTTTCAGGGTACCTAGGTACCAACGTGAAAAGTTGCTCGCCGGAATTTAGTACTCATGGTACCTTTGGTTCCAGCGTAGCGCATGCGCGAAGTCAAATCCAGCTAAACTCGAAAACAAACTTGTCGGCACGGAAAACATCAAAGGAGAAATTCGAATTTTTGAAATATTCAAATACCAAACGTTCGACCATGATCCAGGCTATCCTGAAATGTATTAATTTTGGTAATAGGAGACATATTCTCTAGGTCACGACCAATTGTATATGTTTTCAAGCCCATAAATGTGGATTTTTCACTAATTGTCATTTTCAATTCAAAATGGCGTCCATCATTTGCCGGAAATCAAAATTGTGTTCTCTACCGTTTTTCGGCTTTCCTTCAAGGATTCGGACAATATAATTGCCTTGTCTGTTAGTAAAATATCAAAAAAGCCTTATGTAATTTTCACATTTCAAGATGGTGGCATTTCCGGTTTGAGCTACAAACTCAATTTTTTGTGTACGAATCAGTAGTGTCGTAGCTAGTAAAGAAAAAAAAATCAAGGCAATCTGACCTATATTTTGTCGATTTTTTTTAAAACTTTGATCCTTAATTTCATCGAGGGGAGATAATTTAGAAAATTTCTAATGATATTTTTGAAGTTGCATTGATAAGATCTACTTACATTCTAAATTTCATGAAAATCGTGCAACTATTAAAGAAATTGTCAAATTGATCTCAACTTCCGGTTCAAAATCCCAGCGACGAATTTTCGAAGTTCGAAAATTCGAAATTGCAGATTTTAAGTAAATGTTTCAAGGCACTCCTCAAAAAAGGAATTAGTAAAATAGGTCAAATAGTTACAAAGTTACAGTAATGTAGGTCAAATGAATTTGTTCGTAAAATTCGGTGATTTCGGATTCGAAAAACGATTTGAAAATATATTTAATCAACATTCGCACCCCATTTTTGGGGGGGGGGGGTAGGTCAAAGTTTCAGATTGATCCTATGGTTAGATTCTGAGAAATCCGATTTGTAGAAATGACACAAAAAAAAAATAATAGGAACCAGTTGTACGTGGCAAGGAGTTGGGTAGCACGTTCATCCTTCGAGGGTTTTCTCTGCGAACTCCAGTTTCCTTCCATTGCTAATGACCCATACGCACAAGCAAATTATTGAAATAAAATTGGACCATGTGTTAATGCCAAAATACCTAGTTTCTGTCGAGTGGACTTAAACCCCATTTTTCTCCGTCTTCTGATTGAAATATGAATACCACATCATTTATTGTCATTTTATATATTTATTATGTAATAATGATTTTTCTCTGTGTTAATTTTTCTTTGTGTGGATACACTATAATACAACAGCTGGCTGAAAAGTTCTAGATCTGAAGAGGAGAGATTTAATTGGCTTTTACCACCACAAGTAGAATCATTGAATGAATCATAGACATAAGACCTGCAGCTGAAGTGTTATTATTGTATTTGTACCAGACAATCTTGTGAACCTACCCATTGAAATCACCAAAAATGGACAGAACTATCTATATGGCAGTCATCAAGTATCTGCAACTGAAAGTCCTAACCCAAACATTGAAATATGTGGATACGGTCTCCACTATAGGAGACAATGGCCCTTCCTTTTCTGCACTAAAGAAGTGGTTGCAGGAGGTACTTGATCCAGTGACATCCAGTGACAATCTGTGCTGTTTTCAATATTTCCTAAAAAAAATTTAGCCAGATTTTTAAACATAGAGGAGACCTGGATTCATCAGTTTCAACCAGAATGCAAAATTCAATAAAAACAATGGAAGCATCCAGACTCGCAAGTCCCCAATCAAGCCAGGTCAGTTCTTTCGACTGGACAGGTGATGGGTTCACTCGTTTATGATTCCTAAACTATTCTGCTGATTGACTACCTTAAAAACAGCCAGACTATCAATAGAAGTATTATAAAGGTGTTCTATTCAGACAATACTTCTGTTCATAAATGGGTGATATCATTTTCCCTCTATGATTACGTCATGTCAGCTGTGATCAATTTTTTAAGGGTAACTGAAGATAATTTCTTCCTGGCAGACATCAAGGCCATGCAACATCATTAACTAAAGAGTGAGAGTGTACACTTCAAAAGTGACTACATAGAAAAATAAATGGAAACAATGGACTTTATACAATTCTATACAGTTCTTTCACAGATGGGTTTAGAATTTTTCAGCCAGCTCTCAATAGTTATTGAAATTGAATTATTTGTTTTGGTTTGATACATGATATTATAATTATTCTTACATTGTTTGTATTCTATTTTAGTAATGAACATTAAAACATGCTAATATTTGTTCATTCTTGCTGTATTGGGTTGGATGGCCGAATGGTTAGTGTGTGCATGCTGTATCATACGGCCTGCCATTAAGTCAACTGGCGTGGTCTCGAATCCCTGGTTGTACGTGGCAAGGAGTAGGGTCACCTGTCCATACTCCTGATTTTCTCCGGGTACTCTGGTTTCCCCCCACTGCTAAAGACCCCTACGCGCAAGCAAATTATTGAAATAAAATTAAACCATATGTTAGTCCCGAAATGACCTTGTTTGTGTTGAGTGGACGTTAAACCCATTTCTCTCTAATTATGTTTTGCATACAATGTATAAATACAAATGTAAAGGATGTAACTTTAAAATAGAAGAAAATCAAATATTTTTAATATTAAACAATTGCTTTGTTCTTATACTTCTACAATCATTCTCATGTTGTTCATTTTGCCATATTTTTGTTTATTCATTCATATGTCTTCTATATAATGATGCATAGTATAGTACACTATGTTAAAAAAAATACTAGAAATGTATGTTTCTTTATCACCAAATGATTTATGTAAGTTGTGAAGTAAAACAGTTGAACATTAAATCCCATTTCAATTTATTTGCATGAGGTGAAGAGAAATAATGGTATTGAACAATTGACTATTCATGAAAGATACTAAAGAGAACTTTATTAATTTATACATACTTTTGCTAATTTTATTGTTATATCTTGGTAGTAACATACCAATATAAATAGTAATATTGTTTCTAGATGAAGACTATTATAATTGAAATGAAATGGGATTTCACATCATAATGCTATGCACGGACTGGGCTAATAATGACAAAAAACTACAATGAATACAATAGTATAAAATGTTGCTATGAAATTAAATAAATGTTGTATACAATAATTAACCGGTTTAATACTATATTATACATAAAAGTGAATGAAATTCAATGTTTACTATTTTGCTTTATACATGAATATCACAGGTCAAATTATTGAAATAAATAATGCAAATAGATTATGATTTGAAACATCTTGTATGTCATTGTTCTATTTGTTATATAAGACTACATGATATAAACTTTTTGATAAGCCTCTTTTATCATATTTTGAACCAATGGAATAAAGAGCAAAGACCTAGAATATATTGTAAATATAATCAGGTTTTTGATCAACTGATCAAAGGAAAATATTGCGAATAAATTTGTTGTACTGCTATTGTAAAGAAATCATCATTGTTTTATTTGATATTTAGAATACACATAATCGTGTATATATTTGAAGTTAAGAGCAATTATGATTAGTGATACCTGTATGACCAACTCTCAAAAGATAATCTCATTAAACCAAGTACTTTTTTTCATTTGTATTAGTTGATTTATACTGAATAAAGATAACACAAACAAACAAAAATGAGTTGGCTGTGTGAACACCTCAATGACAAGTGGTATCAGATGCCTCAGAGAGAATATTCAAATGCTCCTTGTGATACGTTTGTAACACAATTATAACCTAATGTATTACACGGGAGTGGAGTGGGTGGGTCGGGGGGCTTTTCGATTGGCAGGGGACTATTAAAATGGGTAAGCAGAGATAAGCAATTTGATGAAACTTTGTGTATAGTTTCATTACATTAGTACCTTGACCATATTACCTTGACCAAGTTCGACAATGAGCATTCTCTTAGTCAGGATAAGCAAAGCAACTTGATTGGCCGGGACTTTGAATTGGTTGATGCTTTGGGGTATGATAACTTTGGTTATAATGAAGTACTGGAACATAACAACCCAGCTTTTAATTGAGCTAGAATGTTTAAACTTGGTGTAGATGTTCATCAGGTCTTGACTGAACATTTTGAGCTACAGCTTGGCAATTTCATTGGTCGATGCTTTGGGACAAGATAACCTTGATTTCTATCTGACAGAGAGTGATGAAATTTACAGTATAGTTTGATTGCTCGATACTTTTGAAAAAAATATGAAAGTGCGATTAATTAATGTGTCATCTTTTACTTTGGGGTTTTGGCGGGAGACATCAGCCATACTGTTTGCTTGTTTAATATCCCCTATACAATATACGCTCGACCTCATTACCCGAACTGGGGTAGAAAAGTGGGATCTTTGACAATGAGGCAATGAACTTGTACATTCTTTTGCAGCTGCACAAGAGGGAACATCAACGCCGGATTAACCATGGTGGTGGGGAGGGGGGCTGATACCGACCGTGAAGCCCCGCAAGGGGGTCGGGTCAGGGGGTTCTCCCGCTAAGAAATTTTAATTGGAGGCCGAAAACGTGATTTCATGGCATTTCAGGCACTTGTGTCGGAGCCATTTAGAAGTACCTCCCCCAGAAAAATAAAATTCTGCCACAAAATTAGCCACAATCCATGCGGGTGCTGTGAAATTTCTAGAGGAGGGAGCTGGAACCCATGAGCCCGTTAAATTCGCCACTGTAAATGAGCAGAGCTACATCAAACCTAATTTTGAGTCCCTCAGTGATAAATAACTTGATTCAAAATCGTATTATAGCCCCAACGACGATTTGATGAATGGAGACCGTAACGTTACGACAAAGTCTAACACTGTAAGTACCAAATAGTCATACGAGATATGTGCATCTCATCAAATTCAGCTTATACCATACCCACAATAATGTTACGGAGTCAGTGAGTTCAAGTTAGACAATACGCTGACCTTCCACTGACCATGCTTATAATATAAAATCTGTCAATGACAGCTGATTCATTGTTTAGTTTTTTATATGATATATTTAATATCAATAATATATGTATATGCATGCTTTATTTTACTTTACACGACCTCTAAAAATGCCCCAAATCGTAAAAATACGACTTTTTGGATTTCGATCTCCTTTTTTCGGCTACCCCGGACATTTTCAAAAAATGATACAATGATTTCACACAACAGGCCAGCTATTAGCCTCTCGATTGACAAGAGTTTCATCGCCCTCCATTCATTATAACCAATGTCATCGTGCCCTAAAGAATCAACAAATCAGCTTGCTTATCTCTGCTTACCCTAGGCAAAAAATGCTCATCTTTGAACTCAATCATGACATTGACCTAGTGAACGCCTACACCAAGTTTGAACATTCTAGCTTAATTAGAAGGAGAGTTCTTGTGTTCCAAAGTCCCGGCCCTTCAAATTGCTTCTATTTTTCATTTTCAATTCAAAATGGTGACCATCACGTGACCGAAATCAAAATTCTGATCCGATAGATTTTTAGGCATTCCTTCCAGGATTCCGAAAATATGACGCCCGAGTCTGTAAGTAAAATAGCAAAAAAGCCTTTTTGATTTTTCACGTTTAAAGATGGTGGCACTTCCGGTTCGATCGACAAACTCCATATTTTGTGTACGAATCAGTAATTACTTGTCTAGTATCGAATTTTTTTTTTTAGGTCATTCTGACCTATATTTCGACGATTTTTTTGAAAACTTTGATCCTTAATTTCACCAAGGGGAGATAATTTAGAAAATTTACAAGGACATC